TGCGCGTGTGCACTGACCTGGAGGTCCAGGGAGAGTGGCGGGTTCTGGGGGTGTGCTCTAGACCGCAACCTGACCTCAGCACCCGCTGAAGATCTGGGGCTCTCCAGTGCTTAGCACGGCTCAGAGATAGGACCATCTGTCCAGCCCACCCAGCTCCGACCCTCACTTTTCTGGCTGCAGACACTCAGCCTCCTCCTCCGCTGGTCGCCAGCCACCAATACTATTTCTCATCCCCTAAGCACCCAGCTCCTCCTCCCCGCTTCCCGTCAGACTTGAGCTCAGAGGCCACCACCCCCAGGAAGCCTTTTCTGAGCTGTCCCTCCCAGGTCACCCAGCTTTAGGGCCATCTCCGTGCGCTGGGACGGGATCTAGCTTCACTTGGTCTCCTTGACTGAGGGCTTGCGCAGGCTTGAACTCAGAGTCTGGTGGTGCTGGGGACTCAGCCATGGCCTGAGTCATGTCACCGTCCTCTTCCCTCCAGCCTGGGGGTGTCAGCAGCCCACCTGCCCATCTTGGGGACACCACAGGGCTCTGTGTGCCAAAGTTATCGAGCTGGGGGCCGGGCCAAGGCCAAAGGTGGACTCCGGGCTGAGGATGGGGAGGTCCTAGTTTTGCCTGAGAACCAACCCCTCCCTGCAGGGGCTGCCCACTCAGGAAGATTTTTCTGAGGTCCTGACCCAGGTTCATGAGGTAGGAGGCCTGAGACTCTTGTGTGGGAGGGTTCTGTAGTGGTCTTTGCTCTTGTCTTCAGTTTCCCCAGGGGGCAGTGAGGGTTCTGGCTTGTCCCCAGGGCCCTGGCAGGAAGTCCGTGGCCATCCTGGCTCTCCTGCACCGGGGCCAGCTGTCCCCTGGACCCACGTGGGCCCTCTGGGGGCTGCCCTTTCTCCGCCGCAGGGCTTCGAGCTGGGCACCCTGGCCGGCCCTGCCTTTGCCCGGCTGCGGCGCTCCCTGGGCCTGGCGGAGGAAGACTACCAAGCCGCGCTGGGCCCTGGTGGCCCCTACCTGCAGTTCATCAGCACCTCCAAGAGCAAGGCCAGCTTCTTCCTGTCGTGAGCTTGATGCAGCGATGGGGCTCTGGGCAAAGGGTTATCTCCTTGGGCAGACCATGGTCAGGGGGGCTGGAGAGATAGGGCAAGGGCCGTGTCGCAGCCGTGAGCTGAGCTGGGACCCGGGAGAGAGATCTTGGCGCCCAGGTCAGGGGCACAGGTCCCCGCGGGAGCCGCTCCAGACAGGCCTGGACAGTGACCGCATCCTGCCACCCCGCAGCCACGACCAGCGCTTCTTTCTCAAGACCCAGCGGCGCCGGGAGGTGCGGGTGCTGCTCGCCCACCTGCCCCGCTATGTGCAGCACCTGCAGCGGCACCCGCACTCGCTGCTCGCGCGGTTGCTGGGTACGCCGGCTGGGGGCGGGGCCAGAGGATTAGCGTGGGGAGGGCGGGGCCGGGGCAGGCTTGGGATTGGACGGTTCTGGGGCGGGTCCTGGAGGGGCGGGCTCGGGGGGCGCGGCCTGAGGTTGGGCCCGGGCCCCTCAGGACCCGGGTTTGTAGAGTTTGAGGACCTCGCCTGGCGCCTTCTCCCCTTCCAGGAGTGCACAGTCTGCGCGTGGCCCAGGGAAAGAAGGTGGGTGAGGCCTAGGCGAGGTGGCTGGGCGGAGCTGGTGGCTGGAGGGTGAGATCACGCTTCCCTCACTCGCCACCCTCATCCCCAGAAATACTTCATCATCATGCAGAGCGTCTTCTACCCCGCCGTTCGCATCTCCGAGAGGCGAGTGGGTCGGGAGCAGGCAAGGGGCCCCGACCTCAGCGGACACTCAGTGGGCAGGCGCCACACGGAGCTCCGGGGAGGGGAAGAGACATTGCCAGGACCCCGGGGGATGAAGGCCGTGGCGCCCACCTCCCGCATCTCTGGGCTCTGAGCGCTCAGTGTGCCCCGGGCGCCGTCGGGGCATTTACTCTCCTGGTCTCTACTCCTGGGGACTGTGTGTTGCTCTCATCCTCCCTGCACAGCTGAAGACGCGGGGAGGACCCAGGCCACGTGGCCAGTGTGGAGCTGGATTCAAATTCAGCCTCTCAGGTGTGGCGGCCCACGCCTGTGATCCCAGCACTCTGGGAGGCTGAGGCAGGAGGATTGCAATTTAGTGACTTAGCAAGACCCTGGTTCCACCTCCCCCCTCCAAGAAAAAGGCTGGGGATGTAGCTCAGTGCGAAGTCTGAAGTTCAATTCCCAGCAGTGAAAAATAAATAAATACACAAATAAAACAGCCCCCACAAAAGAACCCCAGCTGCTCTGCATACAGCATCAATTGTGCTAGCTCCAAATCTGATTCTGCCCATGGCTGTCACCCCTACCCCCAGGTCCCTGTGTCTGGGACACTCTTGGGAATAAGCCTCACAGCAGGCGCAAGTAGCTCTAAGGCCTGGGCTGGGCTGAGCTGGACTCCCAAAGGCCTGGGTAATGCACCACTGTGCTGCTCTGTTCTGCCTTTCATGCTGTGCATTGGGTGCAGATGTCCCCTCATCTGTAGCATAGGGACACTAACAGGCCCTGAGGTTTCCGGATGCTGTGTTTAATGAGCTTGGTGCACTTGGGAACGGTCACCCAAGGGGACGCTTGTGTCTGGTTGTTGCCTTGTGAGAGCCCCTGTGTACCTCGTCTGTGTAAAGCTGAACCTGTCCCCTCACCTCCCAGGTACGACATCAAGGGCTGCGAGGTGAGCCGCTGGGTGGAGCCGGCCCCTGAGGGCAGCCCCCTCATCCTGGTGCTGAAGGACCTCAATTTTCAGGGCAAGACCATGAACCTGGGTGAGCCATGTGTGTGGTTGCTGCTTCCTCCATTCAGGATGAAGTTCAGATGAGGGCCAGACACAGCTCTGTGCTGAGTCCTTAAGAACCTAGATTGTGAACAGGGCGTGGAGGTGCATGCATGTAATCCCAGCACTCAGGAGGCTGAAGCAGAAGGATCATTGAGTTTGAGGCCAGCCTGGACTACATAGTGAGACCCTGTCTCAAAAAAACAAACAAACAAACAAAAAACAAGGTGAGATGTGGTGGTGCACACCTGTAATCCCAGTACTAGGGAGGCTGAGGCAGGAGGATCAGATGACCATGAGTCTGAGGCCATCCTGGGCCACATAGTACATTGAAGGCCAGCCTGAGCTACGTAAGAAGACCCTGTCTCAAAAACAAACACACAAGCAAACAAGACCCTAGATTCTGGAGTCAATAGAACAAGATTCAAATCCTGTCTCCAGAACTTGCAGGCTGGGTGAGCAGGGCAAAGTATGGATGAGTTTGCTTCCTGTGCACTGGGGGCACCGGTGACACCCGCCCTCCTGGGGCAGGAGCATCGGAGACCATGGCTGGCGTGGGCTGAGCTCAGGCCAAGCGCTGTTGCTCAACAGGGTCACAGCGGAGCTGGCTCCTCCGTCAGATGGAACTGGACACCGCCTTCCTGCGGGAGCTCCACGTGCTGGACTACAGCCTCCTGATGGCCTTCCAGCGTCTCTGTGACGATGAGCAGGCCCAGGGCAGCAGCATCATCTTCCACATCGCCAGGTGAGCCCCTCACCCCGATGGTGGGGACCGTGGGTGGGGGGCAGATGGCCAGTGAGGGGCAGCACTGTACAAAGGCCAGGAAGTGTGTGTGAGTGCGTGCGTGTGCGTGTGGAGGGTAGAGGGCTGGCAAAACCAGCGGCGAGAGGCACAGGGCACAGGGGGACCACAGCAGAGCACGGAACTGGCTGGGCTGAGCTGGATGAAGGGAAGGGTCTACTCATTTCTCAGAAGAAACTGCGGAGCCCAGGGGTTCATGAGCAGAGGAAAGACCTGTGTGTCTGGTTCTGCCATAGAAAGAGCCCCTGCCCTCCATCGCAGTGGTGTCATCTCCTGCAATCATCACCCCTGGTGCCATCGTGTCCTCGCTTTGTAGAGTGTCTGTCCCTCTGTGCCTGCTGACCCTGTGCCTCACCAAGACCATGGGCTGGATCCCCATTTTATTTTATGGTTGGTTTTGTTTTGAGACAGGGTCTCGCTATATAGTCCAGGCTGGCCTTGAGCTCACTATGTAGCCCAGACTGGAGTCAAACTCACAACGACTCTCCTGCCTCAGCCTCCTGGCCTATCTAGTAACCTCGTTTCAGAAGGTCAAACCAATAGGGCCGCTGCCTGCCTTGCAAGGGCCCGAGTTTGGTCCCCAGTACCAAAAAATAAAAAATAAAAAAATAAAAAATTCAAACCGAGCCAAGTGTGGTGGTGCACACCTGTAATCTCAGTACTCTGGAGGCTGAGGCAGGAGGATGGCACATTGGAGCCGGCTTGAGCTACATTAAAAAAAAGAAAATAAAAACCAAGATTAATAAAAAAAAAAAAAAAAAAAAAAAAAAAAAAAAAAAAAAAAAAAAAAAAAAACAAAAAAAAAAAAAAAAAAAAAAAAAAAAAAAAAAAAAAAAAAAAAAAAAAAAAAAAAAAAAAAAAAACCAAGATAAAAAAAAAGATGAAATTAATGTTTAATGTTACTTGAAACATTCAAAATTTGCTCGTTTCATTTCATAATGAGCTTGTCAATATTCTTCGCAGTGTTTTCAAATTCGGGGCGTATATTCACTCCGGTGCCTTCTGGCCCCTGGGGCCGGCGCCTGTGTTGGGGACAATGGCGCAGTGTAGACATCAGCCACTGTTTCCTCTGCCTCCCGGGTCGCCTGGGCGGGGCTGGGTGGAGCTGGGGCTCCCTGCAGCAGGCGGCGGACTCACCTTGCTGTGCCCCCCAGGTCTCCGCAGATTACGGAGGAGCCGGACACCCAGAACTGCCGGCTGCTGCCCGACGGCCCCAATGCGCTGCACGTCCTGGACGGGCCTGAGCACCGCCACTTCCTGGGCCTGGTGGATCTCGCCACGGTCTACGGGCTTCGCAAGAGGCTGGAGCATTTGTGGAAAACGCTACGTTACCCAGGCCGGACCTTCTCCACCGTCAGCCCGGCCCGCTACGCCCGGCGCCTCTGCCAGTGGGTGGAGGCGCACACCGAGTGAGCGGTGCCTGGCATCGACAAGGGGCGCTCGCCAGGAGCTCCGGGGCTCTCTGCACCCGGGCCACTAGCCTGCTGTTCCGCCGGTGACCACGAGAGGGCAGCGCCCTCTGATCAATGCTATGATTTCTCAGCCCTGTTCTGTGGTGGAGCTGTACCCCGGGTCGTGCCTAGGATGAAGCCCCGCGTTAGCTCATTTAATCTTCGAAATGCTGTTATTGTATTTTCACAGACCATAAAATGGAGGCTCAGGGGTGAAGGGACTGAGCACCATCTTCAGCACTAATGCTGGACCAGGCTCCACCTTGCCTTGTGGCCTCAGGCGTCTGTGTCCTTAGCCACGGGCTCCTGCAGCCCCCGCCTCACTATCTGGGTGGGGTAGGGGGAGGCTGAAGGCTCCGCCTCCGGTCGTCCAGATGGGGAAACTGAGGCCCAGAGACTTTAAGGGCCTTATGCATGGGTAAGTGGCAAGGCCTGGAAACCCCAGGCGTCCTGGCACGTGTGCCCCACCCTGGGGTGTGGGTGGGAGCAGGTGGGTGGTGGGAGGGCATTCGGGAGCTCTGGGAGGTTCTGAGGGTCTTCTAAGGCTCTCCAGTGGACTCTGTCCTCTGAGAGCCACTTTTCCCATCTGTGAAGTGGGGCAGGAAGCTGGGCATATAATCCCAGCCCTCAAGGGGCTGAGGCAGGAGGATCGCTGCAAGTTTGAGGCCAGCCTGGGCTACATAGTGATTCCAAGGCCAGCCTGAACTACATAGTGAGACCCTGTCTCCAAAGAAAGAAAGAAAGAAAACAAACAAACAAACAAACAGGGGCAGGGTCAATGGTGAGATCCAGGGTCTCAGCTGCAGGGACTCCTGGGAGTCCCACTTCTCACCAGACCTTCTTCCTCCTCCAGGAAATGCCAGCCTGGACTCAGAGCCCAGTCCAAAGTCCAACCCAACCATGCATGCCCAAGGAGGCCTCTGCTTCAGAGCTGCTCTAGGGCCTGGCTGTGTGACCAGGGCAAGGTGCTAACCCTCTCTGTGCCTGTGTTCTCATGTGTGCAGTGGAAAGAATGAAAACAGACCTCATTAATTCATTAAATATTTACTGAGCATTGGCCACATGACAGGCTCTCTACTGGGTGATGGGAAGCCGGGGACAGAGCAAGCTGCCTTCCTGGAGCTCAGGGGCTGGGTGATAACAGGGAGCTGTCGCCACCAAACTTTGAGGGGAAGTGAGGCCAGGGAGCCAGGGACACAGTCTCACCACTTATGTCCTGGAAGGGGACAGGAGGGGCTTAACCCCCAGATGGGACCAGAAGAGTCAGACACCACTTGGAGGGGCCCAGACCCCGACACAGCAAAGCCTGGCTAAGAGGACATTTAGAGAAAGAACCCATCTCTGGTTGGGCCACCTGCCACCACCAGGGGCCGCCAAGGACAGGTGGCTGTCAGGAGCCAGAGGAAGGGAGCGCTGCTGGCCACAGGGAGGCAGTGGGGTTTCCGGAACATCAGCGTCACTGCTGACTGGACGACCTCGGGCGATTACTCAACCTCTCTGAGCTGGCCAGAACCACAAGAATTTCTTGTTCTTACTCAGCAGGGAATTGAAACACAGAGGTTCTTAGGCTCTGGCAGAGGTTGTGGCTGGGGAGGGGATGGGTTGGGACATTTGGGGGCTGCGGGAGCTGGGGTGCAGAGAGCCAGAGTCCTGCTCTCCTACATGGGGTGGCCCAGCCTTCTCTCTCAGTCTCCAGCCATGAACCTGGGCAGGCCTGAGACCAGAGAAAAGGAGGGGACTTGTTTGAGGCCTCGGGGACCCGCCCCCCCACGCTCCTAACTCACTAACCAGCCCCTCGTGGGGGCCGCAGGAACAGGCTTGGTCTGCCAGTGCGCACATGGGCATAAGTAAGGACATCGCCGATACCCAGGATGATTTCAGGTCATGACAAATACTGTGAAGAAAATAAACCCAGTGACAGCAACGCGTGCCTGTAACCCAGCACTCTGGGAGGCTGGGGCAGGAGGATGGAAAGTTGGAGCCCAGCCTGGGCAACTTAGCAACATACAAAGACCCTGTCTCTAAATGAAAGAATAAAAATGGGCTAGGGATGTAGCTCATTGTGAAGGCCCTGGGTTCAATCCTCAGTACTGGAGAAATGAATAAAATAAACCAGGTGGGATGAGAAGAGTGAGGATTGCAAAGCCAGGTAGCGTATTTGGCAAGGTCTTTTCTGAGGGGTGGTGTTTGAGCCGAGTGACAAAGCCAGACAACTAGAGCAGGAAAGGTAGAGGACACTGAATGCGAAGGTCCTGAGGCAGGAATAAGCTCTATGTGACAGGACAGAAGGTGGCCAGGGCAGAAGGAGAGTGACCCAGAGCAAGACAGGGGTCCACATAGCTCTTGGAAATGGAGATAAGGACAGTGGCTTTCTTTTTTTTGAGACAGGGTTTTGCTATGTACTCTAGGCTGGCCATGAGCTTGAGGTGATCCTCCTGTCTCAGCCTCCCAAGTGGGACACCATGCCAGCTTCGGAGGGGGGCGTTTTGAGACAGATCTTGCTATATGGAGAGAAATGTGAAGGAAAAGGACCTAGGGAAACCCAGAAGGGCTAAGCTCCCCTTTTGTGGGAGGGACAAGAAGCCCTTTCATTGAAAGGAGGCCTGGAAAGGGTGGGGCCCCTTTGCCCGCTGCCCCTGCCACCAGAACAGCACAAGGGAAGGCACAGGAATGGAGGACACTAGGCTCAGGGACCCAGGGCAGGGCAGATTTGGAAGGCTGCTGAGCTGGGGGTGGACACCCTGAAGACACTGGCAAGTGAGACATTTCCCCGAGCCCCACATTTCAGCCTCTGCCAGGGCCACACTGAGCTGACCTGGACGTGGAGGCCGGGGAGGTGTCGGAGCCCGGGCCCTGGAGAAGCTGCCCAGGTTTGAGCCTGACTGCCGCAAGCAACTCCTGCACCGTCTCGCTTTGTAGAGGAGGGAAACCGAGCCTCAGAGGAAGGTTACATGAACATAACCAAAACAACGAGCTGGGCGAGGTGGTGCACGCCCGTAATTCCAGCTACTCTGGATGCTGAGGCGGGAGGGTCGCAAAGGCCGGTCCGGTCAGTTTAGCCAGACGTTGTCTCAAAATTAAATAAAAAAGGTTGCGAAGAAGCGCAGCGGCCCAACACTTGCCTGGCACCTGCCAGGCCCTGGTTTCAACCTTCAGTACCAAAAATAATATAATTCTATTGCAAACAACTCGTTTCTTTGTTTATGTGAAGTTCCAATTTAACTGGGCGTGCTCTGTTTCACTTGCTAAATTCGGTGACTCTATCAGCGTGAACCCCGACCAAAGCCCCTGATTAGCTGCTCAGGTCCCGCCCCCTTTTCTGAAATAGATTCTTTTCTTTGTTTTTCTTTCTTTGTTTACTTTTTATTTTTTGAGACGAGATCTCACTACGTAGCTTAGTCTACCCTTGAACTCACAATTTTTCTGCTACTGCCTCCTAAGTGCTGGAATTATAGGAGTGTGTCACC